CTCCCTTCCTTTCTTCCTTCCTTCCTTCCTTCCTTTCTCTCTCTCTCTCTCTGTCCTTTCCTCCTTCTTTCCTCTTTCTCTTCCTTCCTTTCCTTTTGTTTCTTTTTTCTTTCTGTCCTTCCCTCCTCCTTTTCTCTTTCTCCTTTCCCTTTCCTTCCATCCTTCCATCTGATCATATCTTAGATCTGATCTGATCTGATCTTTACATCTTATCTACCAAATTATGTGCCATATCCGATGACTCTGGGCTGCTTACTGCATAAAAACATCAGAATGTTTTTAAAGACCCATTCAAATCAATAATCATAGAAACACAGTGGATGCAATCCTTAACTAGTAAAATAATGCAAAAATAATAATTAAAACAGTGATTGAATAATTATTCTTTAATTAATTGTTAAATCGTCATTAAATAACCCCAGGGGGGAAGGAAGGGGCCGGACACACATGGGGGAGGGGCATTTAGCTGGGCCAGGGGCCACGTAAGGCCCAGAGCTGGGTGCCGTGGAGCCTCTTGGCAGGGCAGCCTCACCCGCCACGCCCACCCAGGCTGCTCTCAGTGCCAAGCTCAGCTGGTGTGGCAGGGGGGCTTGTATGTCCGGGGTGGGTGGGGGGCTCCCCGGGCCTTGTGCTGTCCACCCCCCCCCCCCCCGCCCCCCCAACCCCCCATCTCCCCCACAGGTTATGGTCTCCTCTTCCTCTCCATGACGGTGACGCCTGTGATCCGCTCCAAGCTCTCCAGGCTGGTTGGCGAGACAGAGCAAGGTAGGGCGGGAGGGGGAGGGTGGCTGTGCCCCTCCCCACACCCCTCCTCCGTGCCCCCCCTATGCTCCCTCCCGGGCTCCACTACTCCAAGGGGTGGGGGGGGGGGGGCCTTCCCGATTTTCTCCATCCTTTGTCCCTGGTAGGAAGGTTAGGATAAGCCAGGAACCTCCAAACGCGGCCCCTTTAAGACCGGAGGACTTCGACTCCCAGAATTCCTCAGCCAGCTTCGTTGGCTGAGGAATTCTGGGAGTTGAAGTCCCCGACTCTTCAAGGGCCAAGGTGGGAGACCCCTGGAATAAACGGAGCATTTGGGGATTCTGAATTCCCCGGGGGGGGGGGGCGGCCAGGCCGCCCGCCCCCCCCCCCGCCCCTGAGCCGCCTCTTCTTCCGGGCTGCTTGACCCCCCCGCCCCCTTTTCTCCTCCCCCCAGGGGCCCTCTTTGCCGCCGTGGCCTGCGTGGAGGGGCTGTGCTCCCTGGTGGCCACGGGGGTCTTCAGCTCCCTCTTCCCAGCCTGCCTCCCCTTCATGAAGGGCTTCCCCTTCCTCTTCGGAGCCCTCCTCCTCCTCGTGCCGGCTGCCATCATCGGGTGAGTCGGCCCCGGGGGAAGCCGGGGGGGGGGCAATCCAGAGGTGGTGGGGTGGGGGTCCCCGCCGGGGGGGGGTTGGGGGGGGGGGGGGGGGGTCGGGAGCCCGTCCCCCCCCCCCCGAGGGAACGGCTGATCTGGAGCCATCCTGGCCTCCGTTTTCCCTTCCATGAAGTGGTCTTCATTTTAAAGCTGGCCCCTGTTTTCTGGTCCAGTGGTGGGGAGTTCCGGGGGTGAACCTGGCTGCAATTTCAGGCCAAAAACTGCAGCTGATGGCCAGTCGGTGACCCAAACCACCTTGTTCGCTTAACGACCGTTGCAGAAGCAGCCAACCAATTTTTCAACCTTACAACTCACGAAAGCAATGGGGAGGCCTGGTCATATGTCGAGGCCTGCCCAAACAGGCGGGAGGCCTTCCCCCACGGATCCCTCATGGAGCCGGCCCATCTCTCCTTCCAGGGGGATAGAGATCCAGGACGGCAGCCCCGGATACCAGCGCTTCGGTGAGGCTCCTGAGCCGGGGCAGGAAGCCCAGCCGCCCCCCCAACACGACTGAAGCCGTTGAGCCTCCTGGGCACCCAGGATCCGCCTTCTCCGGGCGGGGACCGATCGATCGCGACCATCTGGAACCACGACGGATCAGGGCTTCAGGCCGTGGGACTGTGCGAACGCCCAAGGGGGCTTTCCTGGGTCTAAACCGGGGGTCCTCAGCTTTGGGCCC